TCTGGCTTCTGTTTGCATCTATTGGGTTGTCGGAAAAGTCATTATGTATTTTTTTCTATGTTTTTCATTGCAAAAATGTGTCATGACTCTTCCAACAACCCAATATTAAAGAATAAAGATAGTCCTTGCTCTCAGCTCACAGATTTGACCTGAAGTTGTGTGAATAGGCAGTATGGCACTCCAGAAGAGGAAACTTTTCATGCTAGTGTTATTCAGTGATTTCAGACAAAGTGGCCATGGTTACGATACCGCCCTTGTGACTTCCATCTGAAATAGATTTTTGTCTTGTTTTGAAATCATCTGTTTTATCTAAGGCGATTTTCGTTATATTTTATATGCCATTGTAATTAGTACCTAGAGTTCTAACACGTAACGGAGGGACATTGTGTCTATCCCCCAAGACTTTATGTGTTATAAAGGAGAGACCCAAGAAGTGAAAGTACCGTATTTCCCCACATATAAGACGCACCCTTTTTCAAAAAATTTGGTATCTAAAAACTGGGTGTGTCTTATACAGTGGTTGCAGTTTTTTTACTTGCATTTCCTGCTTTTTTGCGCTTGTTGTCTTTGCGCTCATTGTTTCGCACTTGTTACCGGTATATTATGGTAGGTTACGTTTTGCCACATTCTGCCCAGAAATGGCTCAGAAAAGATTTTCGTACAGTGCTGAGTTCAAGTTAAAAAGTGATCCAGCTTGCAAAAGTGAATGGAAATCATGCTGCTGAACATAAGTTTGGTCCTCCTCCAACTGAGAAAACAATCCGAGACCAACTACAGGAAGAAGAAACCCTACTGAAAATGCCATGGCAGAAGAAGGCTATGAGAGGCAAGTCAGCAAAATGGCCAGATTTAGAGAGGGAATTGAAGATTGGGATTGAAGAGCAAAGGGCAATTGGGTATTTTGTCATCAGACACAGATGAGGACAAGCTAATGGTTGGGAGTTTTGACAGTGATGAGGAGTTCTATGAATTTTATGATGAATAAAACTTGAGTTCAGTATCTTTATGTCATACATTTTTTTTTTTTCAAATTTCGGGCCCCAAAATTAAGGTGCATCTTATACATGGGAGCATCTTATACATGGGGAAATATGGTAAGCTTGATAGTTGATTTAACTTCTGGGGGTTGTAGAAGGAAGACTCAGTGGTGTTTAGGAAACTTAGATGTTAAATGATAGTAGAAAAATAAGGAAATTCGCATGACTTCAGATCATTGGTCTTCTAAGGGTAATGTCACATCCTCACATTTTATTTTCTTTGACATGAACATTATAGGAAAATTTCTCCCATTAGTTAATTTCAGTTTTTGTAACCTAGAGGCTGGTCTTTCCTCTCTTCATCAAAAGTATATAATTTAAAGAAACGATAGCCGAAGTTCTCTACTTTTTCAAAGATTTATTTTTAAATATTCAAATCCAACCATGTATTTGTACTACTTGCTATCATAGAGACTTCAGTTTTATGGGGCGTAAATTGAAGTATAATATTTGGCCAGTATTTGAGCTGTATCTGGACATTTTGGTCTATAATACAATATTTAAAGTGAAAAAGGACAGTATTTCTTAAGTTTTGTGCTAATATTTCTAATGTTTATCTATAGGTACTTCCTTACCATGTGAATGGTCTTCTGGTAGCAACTTGATAGCTTCTGTGAGTTCCTTTTCAGGGCTTGTCATTTAATCAGTTGGGACTGAATTACTGTGTCTGGAAGACTGGTTCGTATCCTTTCTGTTTGGCTCACTTCTGTAGCAGGGTCTGAGTTCACCCCTTTTAGGGGAAAAAAATGACAATAGTTGAAGTTGCTGTGGGAAGGGGTGTGTGTGTGTGTGATGAGGCAAAAGGTGGCATTCAGGGAGAGCCTGCTGGCTGCCCTCACAAGACTGTTTCATGGTGGCATTGACATTCAAGAACTTACCACTGTCTTCCTTTTGGTACTCACACTGGAGTCAGAAACCCAACGTTGTCCATGTCTTAAATGGATGGTACTGGGCCAAGTGACTCTCTTTAACAAGGCTCATGAGAATGTTTGTTTAAAGCAAGAACATCCATTTATTAATTTATTCCCACAATCATATCTGTCAACAAGCCAGTCAGTTGTGTTGGGTTGACTAGAGCAGCACACTCTCTCCCCACTGTGGTTAGGCTAAGAAAGGAGCCAAATTATGAGGTGCTCCCCAGTGGGAACAGAATCAGAACATGGGAAAGTAGTTCTGTGATGCCAATTACATACACAGCACTGGGCTTCGATAGCCTGCTGGGTCCATTTCTGGAGTTGGATGTGGGTGTGTGTGTTTATAAGTACAGTAATACCTTGGTTTGCGAGTATAATTTGGTCAGGAAACAAACCACTCGTATTGCAAGACATCACTTGTTTACCCAGTTAAAACATTAGAAATGTTTGCGTGCCTTGTGGAACACTCACAAGCCAAGTTACTCGCAATCCCAAGGTTTTACTGTACATAGATACTGTCCAGACAGTCTTTTCTGGACTGTACTGCCAGTGTTGGCCCCCAGCCTGTTACCATAGGTGCTCTTTCTGACGACTCCACACCCCTGCAGATGAGCACAGTCTTTAGGTCCATTGATGAAAATCAAGTTTCAATTACATCTTTTGGGCTATGGATAATTGGGATTCTTGGTACTCTGCATAGCTCCACTCTGATCACAATTTAACTCACTGGGAGCAATCTTATTTTGTTCCCTTCGTGTGTGTGTGTGTGTTTGTGTTTCCTTTTGCACTCAGGTATAATCAATTTCTCCAGGTCACAGTTTGAAGAGCTTTGTAGAATATAAATATTAGCTCTTACCCTTGACTTGCTATTTAGGGAGGAAAGCAGAAATTGAAAAAATTGTTACTGCAGATATCTGATAGCCTCTTTCACTTTGCTGAAAACCACTGATGTAGAAGATGTGACTCTCCAGAAAACAGCTGAGCTCCTCCCAAAATATTAGGATACAAGGTGTCTGGGATGCCCAAGTCAGACTCCTAGTCCTTGCCCTGTGGGACATCTATTCCAAATGGCACAGTGGCTGGGCTGTGGGTTGTTGCCGACTCGGGTGATTAATCATGATTCATCTGGAATAGTTCAAAAGGGACCTTGGACGAGCTCTGTTGGCATGATTCCATTAATATTTTTCTTCCTTATATTTTTAAAGTATATAGTCCGTGCTAAATCACAGACACTGAAGGTTGATTGATTTATCTGGAGAAGAAAATGTCTGGGCTTATTAGGCATCTCTTTACTTATTATTTACCCTTGCCTACCAATCTTTATGCTACATTTTACATTGCTTTTTTAAGCATGACTGTTAGGAGACATTTATGTTTCCACAGTTCCCCTATGGAAGCACACTGTGGCCCTCTTCCAGATTCAGTGCTTGCCCTGTAGATGAAACCCAAGACTTTTCACCAGGGTCCTTTCAAGTCACATTTGTAAAAAGAATTAGGCTCTAAGCCGTGCGCCTTTTGTGTGTAAGATGATTTAACTCTAATAAACTTCACTATAGCATTCTCCAAATTCTGCTTAAGATGTTATCTTTCTAGTATCTCTCAGGTGTGCGTGTTTGTTGTTGAATTTTTTGGTTTGATTGCTGTTGCCCAAAGCTTTCCTTGCTCTGAGAAGACAGGCCAGCCCAGAAGGAGGACCTGGCTGGGAGTCTGCCGATTTGGATCCTGGCCCTGTCTTCATTAGTTGCCTGACCCCTGGGCAAGCCAGCCTCCCAGGGTCTCTGTTTCTTCATCAGAAAAACAAAGGGCTTGGAAAAATAAATACAGGCCAGGACCAAATGATAAGAAAGGTCACCCTGTGTGCTTAGCCATGGGATTCTGTGAATGGCAGCACGTCGAAACCCTTCATGCCTCTCAGTGGTCCCCACAAAACCTGTGCCTCATTTTGGGGTAGAAAGACCATGTAGGGTGTTACACGGAGGCCATTTTAAGCATTCAGGCAAACTAGGCAGGTTTGGGAGCCCTGCTCTGCGTAGGAGTTGTCCCCCCCGCCGCAGCTCTTTCTCTTCCTTCTTTCTTTCAGAAGCAGCCTGCTTGCCATCTCCCTTCCTCTCCTTCGTGCATTGGGTGCGTTGTGATGGGTAACACAACCCACTCAGATTTGTTACTATTTGGAGTTGTCCAGCCATCTCATCTCCGTGGAGAGACGACAGAGCTAAAGGAGACGGCTGACATAATGAACATAATGGTCCTTTTGTCTGTCTCTCTCTGTCGGGATGGTTTCATGTTTCATCTTAGGCCTGGGCCATTGTGCTGTTTTTACATGCTCAGGACAACCCCGCTTAAAAATACAGCTCCTTTATTGAAAGGATTCAGCTGTAATGCCACAGGCCTGTTCCCCTTTCCTCCCCACCTCCCCCAAGAGTCATACAACTATCCATAGGAAAAACCCGCTGTAGTGTGTGCTGTTTGATCACGTCCCCTGACATCAGGGTTAAAAATGTGTTCCCACTGTATTTATTTTGCAACTGCTTATAAGGTGTCTCTCATTCTGATAACCTTCCAAAATGTTTTCCTTGCGGTTCTGTAATCACTAGCATCTGTGAAACATGTCTTTAACCATGTTGCTTCCTTCTTAACCATTCTCTTTTTGATTCTCTGTTTTAATGTTTTCTTTTGATGAAGTGGGGCTGGGAGGACCCACATTCCTGTGCCAGACACCTTATAGTAATGTGCCTGGATTTACCCTCATAACCTTAATTAGATGTGGAATGCAGAGAATGCACTGTTGTGGGTTTTTTAAGAACTTTTATAGCAAGACCATGAACTTTTGATCACTTCATTAAAAGTTATAAAACACCCCTTGTGTCTTTTGCATTTAGTTTTCCATCTTTATTCATAGAAAATTAATGTAAAATTCAAGGCACCTTTATATCATGCTGAGGAATCTGTTTGAACACAAGTTACCTCTTGTATCAGTATGCTGGTTATGGGTATATTCTAAGTTACAACCATTAATTCCTCTTCTTCCCTCCCCTCCTTTTCAATTTAGAGGCAAAGGAGTGTCGAAAATGTTAAAGGCTGTGCTGAAGAAGAGCCGAGAGGGAGGAAAGGGAAGCAAGAAGGAAACAGGTATGTGGAAAAGAATGAGTTGGGTCAAGCAAGCGTTGTGGGTGTGGGGCCAGAGCACCCCACTCACTCCAGGCTGGGGAGATGTCACTGGCTCGTGGACAAGTCAGAGAAGTAATATGGGTTAGAACAAACAGCATATTGGAACTAAATGTATTTCTGAACTTTCTTTTGAGAAGTGACTGTGAAAATTTGAGTGTGGGTTCTGAACCAAATCCTTCCCTAGAAGATGTGTAAGGTTCACAATTTTAACGGGTCATTCAGATCGAGAGCTTGACTTAGAGACATTGAGGGATAGCAGGTGCGTCAGGAATTTGGTTTCTAGGAAGCCCTTTCCCTTTTCCCACATGCAATTGCATTTTATATGTTTGACCAACTGCTGGCTGACTGGTTTTCATCTTGTGAGTATCAAATTTTCCCCCAACAGGTGTAGCTCTACTGAATGCCAGACTGCTTAATTTTCATTATGATGAGAGCTCCTTAATTTGGCTTGGATTTCATTTCTCTTTGTAGTGTTCTGGTACATATGCGGTCATTGTGACTCTACATTCCATTCAATGTGATGAACTCCTCTAAGGTTATTTTGGTGACCACTCAGTGTTACAACCTATTTCTCTTGCTAGGAAAACTACACATTGTCTACCTATATTGCACAATGAAATTCTGTTAGTGTAGATTAATCTCCCTGAAATGTGCCATTTCGCTCTGTAAACTCATGTTAATCCAAAGTTGGAGAATGGCAGATTTTCCAAGTTATTGTATGTTGAATAGTATTTCAGTTTGAATTTCTATTAAAATATATATAAGTATATTTCCACAACATCACTGAAGTATAGCTAACTCTTTAATTTAAAAGGTTTTGTAATACCTTGTGATAATATTGTTAATATGTGTTATTTCTATACTTATATATAAAGTGGACTTAAAAACTTTTTGGATGTATGGAACCTAGACAAATTTCCAGTTTATTAGTTATCCCTTAAACCAAGTATGCAAAATGACAAACTTAACCTTAAAAATAGTCTTTGCTGTCAAGTTGTTGTTAAGATTCCATTAGAAGCTTCTCATTGATGCATGAATAAACAGATACAAAGAAGAACCCAGCTTTTAATGATAGAAACAGGAGACCATAGTTAGCTCTTAACCTTAGAAAATCAACCCCTAATTTTGAATAATTAATTAGAATTGTTACTATGGAGAATTTTCATTTCCCATAATTTCTATCCAGGGGGACATTCACCCTTGGTTGGGTTACAGCCAAAACATCCTTCTCTTTATCTCTCTGAAAGGAGTTAAAAAAAATCTTTTTCCCCTAGTTTTGGCTCATCTGACACTCATCTCAGGAACTTTGTTGCTTGCTTCTTTAGATGCCTTTGTAATTTCCACTATAAAGTTAGATCCTAAACTGTCTGGTTAGAGCTGCCAACCAGTGGCCAGGGTATCCAAGCCAAAACCCCCCCCCCCACTTAGTAATGGAGTCTTTCACAACAGACCTACCATCCTTTTTGATCAGTCCAGACTCATGTGAAATAACAGTATATAAATGATGTTCGGCACCCTGTCTTTCACGTGGGCCAGACAGTGAACATAGTTTGCATTTGAAACTTTTTCAGTTGTAGAGCATGTGATTTGGGCTTTAATTCCCCTTTTGGTCTTTAAGAGCTACTACTGTTTTTATTTTCTGAATCACTTCTTCATAATAATTCCCACACGATGATGGCTTTTCACTAATGCAAACCAACTTGAAAAAGTAATGGGAACATTTCTCATAAAACATCTATATGGTATGTGCCTTTTCCCTCTTAACTAGAACCTGGTTGTATTAGTTGGGGAATAAAGCAGATGGAATTTTAAATCTTGAAGTTATGTCACAAAATGATTGGGGAAAATACTTGGAATTTGACCATTCATGTGCTGAGCTCTGTGCCAACTCTCATTATATAAGTAAATCATAGCTAAGTTTCTCTGTAAATTGAAGCTGGCTAATCTACTGAGACTGCTATGAAACTTGGGTAATAATATCTCCTGCAATATGGAAAAATTTTGCTTTACTGTTTCCAGTTAACAGCAATCTTTGTTGAAAACACAAAGGAAAACTAATTTCTATGTACTTGAACTCACAATCCTAGAAATGTAGGAAATATTCATGTCTAAAATACTGAGTTCAGCTTTTCCTATCCTTTGTAGATTGTTTTTATAGACAATATTGAACTACCCTTTTATGTTGAAACTATTGAGAAGATTTGGAAAATATAATCACTGAGTTAAATTTAGTATTCTTCAAAAGAAAACAACTATTTTTTTAGAAGTATTGAACAGTTGGTGTACCCTCAGCTTCTATCCCTAAAAGAAGATATCGCATGTACCTATTTTAAACTATTGGTAAAAATTTAGCAGGAATTGAAATTTGTTATATACATATATATATATATATATATATACACACACACACACACACACACACACACATATACATATACATATATGTACACATATGTATATATGGATATTTGAAATATGTACAGTGAGATATTAAATTATTGAAAGCCATTGAGTAAACTCTAAAAATAGCAAAAGTCTTTTATGATTATTCTTTTTTACCTAGGAAGTGCTTATAGCTGAGCAAAAAGTATTTTCTGGAGGCTATAGAAACATAGTGGAGAATGCAATATTAAAAACTTTAAAATGTGTTTTGGGAAAGTGCCTTGTCTCCACTATTCTATCAGCGCAAATGAGCACTGTCTTTCTCTTGACCTTGAGTTAGGCCTAAGGGAGCAGAAATCAATATTAACCCATAATGTTGGGGGTGCCAGATGAGGGCATCTATTTTTTTCTCTCCTTGCTCTTATGTTAGGACCTTGATCTAACACAAGTAAATGAGGTGTTGTCTTTATTTTGAAGCTCTCTAGAGAGGCCTACAACCTTTTACCACATGTCTCTTTAGTTTAAGTGAACTTTACAGTCAGAAAACCTTCATGCTACTATTATTAAACTTAATTTGAAAGTGAAATAATTGCTGTATCCTAAGATTGAGAGTTTTGTGATATCAAATCTGGATCTAATAAGAGTTTAGAGTGAATATCAGAGCAACATAGGAAATATCTTTTCTGTATAGCAGCACTGTTTAGAAAATGAATAGGAAAAAAGTCCCATTTTATGATAGAAACAAAAACTTTAAATATCAACCTAACAATAAATATACAAGCCTTATATTGAAGACAATATAAAACTTAACTGAAAAACTTAAAGGAAGACTTGACTTAATGGAGAGAAATATCATATTTCTGAACGGGTAGGTTCATTTTTTAAAACCACCAGATTTTGCCAAATTATTTATACTTAGAGCAATTGTAGGTTCACAGCAGAACTGAGAAGAAGGTACAGAGATTTTTTTTGTATACCTGGTGTCCATACATGCACAGCCTCCCCCACCAGAGTGGTGCATTTGTCGTACCTACATTTGTACATTTAATGAACCTACATTGATACATCATAATCACCCAAAGTCCATAGTTTACATTAAGGTTCACTTTTGGTGTTGTGCATTCTGTGGATTTGGACAAATGTATAATGACATGTAACACTATCATAGTATCATACAGTATATTTTCACTGCCCAAAAACCCTGTCATTTTTCTTAACACAGCATACCCAGTTGATTTAAAAATTCATCTGGAGGAGGAAATGCTTGAGAATAGCCAAGAAAGAATTGAATGTGTGAGTCAAGTGCAACTAAATAGCTGAACCTGGTTCCCATGCCTGTGTTCTAGCTGCAAGAGAGGCCTGACAAGTATGTATTTGTACTTCTTAGCTTCTATAGGACAAGGTGGACTTGACTTCCCCCCAAGACACACATTGCAGAGGATTCTTCAGTCATAGGCACTGGGCAGGTCCCCTCTACCTCAATAATCAACCAAGCACAGAGATCTAGTGTAGCTCATCATAATAGCTACTGCTTCCACATAGTGAGTAAATGGCTTGGCTAGTGTTTTGGGCCTTTTTTCCCTACTAGTCTCTAAGAAATGAAACATAATTTTATCTGACATCTATGATATAGTCTAAGCTCACAGTTGATAGTATTTTTGTTTTTCTTTTAATCCTAGCGATAGTGGAATCATTCTGGAAGCATTAGACAGGCAAGGCCTCTTGCCCTTTTTAGAAGGGGCTGGTCCATCTCCCTCTCTGTGCAGCCCTTCTCCTGCCCTCTACCAGGCTTGAATCCATAGTCTTTTGCCTTATCCAACTCTCCTAGTTATTCTTCTGTATTGGTGTGGAAGTAGCTTCAAGTAAAGGCAGAAGAGGCAGAGTTCAGTGAACTTTTAATTGTAGTACTGCCTCAATTAAAATATGGACTGATTAAGGATAGGTTGCTTAATATGCCAAAATAATTGTTTACTAGTCTTTTTTTTTTTCGATTTAATTATCTGTGTTCTTTTTGCACCAAGGGGGGGACTTAATTTGAAGCAATTTATTTAAAAAAAAAATTGACCTTCACCTTTTAATCGTTGAAACCCAGCTGGTTGGCTAAATATCCTTGTAATGGTATTAATTAAGGCATTGGATAGTCTCTAAACTTAAGTATGTACTGAATTAATCTGTTAGCTTTGCATCTAATCCTTCACTTTGAATTTGTAGTAAAAGGAAGCTGTTTGCCTCTAAAGTTTAAAAGCCATTGATGTGATTGTTAAATGTGGTATTTTAAGCCATTCCAGGCTGCAGTCTGGTTTTCAGTGGTACCTTCTAAAAATGCCTCATTACAAACGATGCTTTGTTTTATCTGGAAAATATGAAGCTGCTTTTGATTATTCTGTGCTGCATTGCCCATTTTCTGTGGTTGTAGACTATTATTTAGGAATTTAGTGCAGTGACTGTCTTGCTGAGCTCTGGATATTTGGTATCTTGTTGTTAACTGACCCCAAAAATGTTTTCCAAGCAACAGAACAAGCAGAAGTAATTCAGACTACAGGTATTGTATTTCTCTTTACCGGGGCACTTAAACAAAT